TGAGTGAAGCATCTCAAGTGAGTAAAGCATCTCAAGTGAGTAAAGCATCTCAAGTGAGTAAAGCATCTCAAGTAGGTGAAGCATCTCAAGTGAGTAAAGCATCTCAAGTGAGTAAAGCATCTCAGGTGAGCAAAGCATCTCAAGTGAGTGAAGCATCTCAAGTGAGTAAAGCATCTCAAGTGAGTAAAGCACCTCAAGTGAGTAAAGCATCTCAAGTGAGTAAAGCATCTCAAGTGAGTAAAGCATCTCAAGTGAGTGAAGCATCTCAAGTGAATAAAGCATCTCAAGTGAGTAAAACACCTCAAGTGAGTAAAGCATCTCAAGTGAGTAAAGCATCTCAAATGAGTAAAGCATCTCAAGTGAGTGAAGCATCTCAAGTGAGTAAAGCATTTCAGGTGAGTGAAGCACCTCAAGTGAGTGAAGCATCTCAAGTGAGTAATGCATCTCAAGTTAGTAAAGCACCTCAAGTATGTTAAGCATCTCAAGTGAGTAAAGCATCTCAAGTGAGTGAAGCATCTCAAGTGAGTAAAGCATCTCAAGTGAGTAAAGTATCTCAAGTGAGTAAAACATCTCAAGTGAGTAAAGCATCTCAAGTGATTAAAACATCTCAAGTGAGTAAAGCATCTCAAGTGAGTAAAGCATCTCAAGTGAGTAAAGCATCTCAAGTGAGTAAAGCATCTCAAGTGAGTGAAGCATCTCAAGTGAGTAAAGCATCTCAAGTGAGTAAAGCATCTCAAGTGAGTAAAGCACCTCAAGTGAGTAAAGCATCTCAAGTGAGTGAAGCAACTCAAGTGAGTAAAGCATCTCAAGTGAGTGAAGCAACTCAAGTGAGTAAAGCATTTCAGGTGAGTGAAGCATCTCAAGTGAGTGAAGCATCTCAAGTGAGTAATGCATCTCAAGTTAGTAAAGCACCTCAAGTATGTTAAGCATCTCAAGTGAGTAAAGCATATCAAGTGAGTGAAACATCTCAAGTGAGTGAAGCATCTCAAGTGAGTAAAGCATCTCAAGTGAGTAAAGCATCTCAAGTGAGTAAAGCATCTCAAGTGAGTAAAGCATCTCAAGTGAGTAAAGCATCTCAAGTGAGTGAAGCATCTCAAGTGAGTGAAGCATCTCAAGTGAGTGAAGCATCTTAAGTGAGTAAAGCATTTCAGGTGAGTGAAGCACCTCAAGTGAGTGAAGCATCTCAAGTGAGTAAAGCATCTCAAGTGAGTAAAGCATCTCAAATGAGTAAAGCATCTCAAGTGAGTGAAGCATCTCAAGTGAGTAAAGCATCTCAAGTGAGTGAAGCATCTCAAGTGAGTAAAGCATCTCAAGTGAGTAAAGCATCTCAAGTGAGTAAAGCATCTCAAGTGAGTAAAGCATCTCAAGTGAGTAAAGCATCTCAAGTGAGTAAAGCATCTCAAGTGAGTGAAGCATCTCAAGTGAGTGAAACATCTCAAGTGAGTGAAGCATCTCAAATGAGTAAAGCATCTCAAGTGAGTGAAGCATTTCAGGTGAGTGAAGCATCTCAAGTGAGTGAAGCATCTCAAGTGAATAGAGCATCTCAAGTGAGTAAAGCACCTCAAGTGAGTAAAGCACCTCAAGTGAGTAAAGCATCTCAAGTGAGTAAAGCACCTCAAGTGAGTAAAGCATCTCAAGTGAGTAAAGCATTTCAGGTGAGTGAAGCATCTCAAGTGAGTGAAGCATCTCAAGTGAATAGAGCATCTCAAGTGAGTAAAGCACCTCAAGTGAGTAAAGCATCTCAAGTGAGTAAAGCATCTCAAATGAGTAAAGCATCTCAAGTGAGTGAAGCATCTCAAGTGAGTAAAGCATCTCAAGTGAGTGAAGCATCTCAAGTGAGTAAAGCATCTCAAGTGAGTAAAGCATCTCAAGTGAGTAAAGCATCTCAAGTGAGTAAAGCATCTCAAGTGAGTAAAGCATCTCAAGTGAGTAAAGCATCTCAAGTGAGTGAAGCATCTCAAGTGAGTGAAGCATCTCAAGTGAGTGAAGCATCTCAAGTGAGTGAAACACCTCAAGTGAGTGAAGCACCTCAAGTGAGTAAAGCATCTCAAGTGAGTAAAGCATCTCAAGTGAGTGAAGCATCTCAAGTGAGTAAAGCATCTCAAGTGAGTAAAGCACCTCAAGTGAGTAAAGCATCTCAAGTGAGTAAAGCATCTCAAGTGAGTGAAGCATCTCAAGTGAGTGAAGCATCTCAAGTGAGTAAAGCATCTCAAGTGAGTAAAGCATCTCAAGTGAGTAAAGCACCTCAAGTGAGTAAAGCATGTCAAGTTAGTAAAGCATCTCAAGTGAGTGAAGCATCTCAAGTGAGTAAAGCATTTCAGGTGAGTGAAGCACCTCAAGTGAGTGAAGCATCTCAAGTGAGTAATGTATCTCAAGTTAGTAAGCACCTCAAGTATGAGGATTTTAGATATATGAAAATTCATATATTTGCACTGCCGTGGAAAGATGAAATTAGAAGATCCTCGCAGCTAAGAACACTACTGAAACTAGTAGTTGCAAGTAGGACCTGAAATTTTTTTCAGGTCCTACTAACAACTACTAGTTTCAGTAGTGTTCTTAGCTGCGAGCATCTTCTAATTTCACCTCAAGTATGTTAAGCATCTCAAGTGAGTAAAGCATCTCAAGTGAGTGAAGCATCTCAAGTGAGTGAAGCATCTCAAGTGAGTAAAGCATCTCAAGTGAGTAAAGCATCTCAAGTGAGTAAAGCATCTCAAGTGAGTAAAGCATCTCAAGTGAGTAATGCATCTCAAGTGAGTGAAGCATCTCAAGTGAGTGAAGCATCTCAAGTGAATAAAGCATCTCAAGTGAGTAAAGCATCTCAAGTGAGTAAAGCATCTCAAGTGAGTAAAGCATCTCAAGTGAGTAAAGCATCTCAAGTGAGTAAAGCATCTCAAGTGAGTAAAGCATCTCAAGTGAGTAAAGCATCTCAAGTGAGTGAAGCATCTCAAGTGAGTGAAGCATCTCAAGTGAGTAAAGCATCTCAAGTGAGTAAAGCACCTCAAGTGAGTAAAGCATCTCAAGTGAGTAAAGCATCTCAAGTGAGTAAAGCACCTCAAGTGAGTGAAGCATCTCAAGTGAGTAAAGCATTTCAGGTGAGTGAAGCACCTCAAGTGAGTGAAGCATCTCAAGTGAGTAATGCATCTCAAGTTAGTAAAGCACCTCAAGTATGTTAAGCATCTCAAGTGAGTAAAGCATCTCAAGTGAGTGAAGCATCTCAAGAGAGTGAAGCATCTCAAGTGAGTAAAGCATCTGAAGTGAGTAAAGCATCTCAAGTGAGTAAAGCATCTCAAGTGAGTAAAGCATCTCAAGTGAGTAAAGCATCTCAAGTGAGTAAAGCATCTCAAGTGAGTGAAGCATCTCAAGTGAGTGAAGCATCTCAAGTGAGTAAAGCATTTCAGGTGAGTGAAGCACCTCAAGTGAGTGAAGCATCTCAAGTGAGTAAAGCATCTCAAGTGAGTAAAACATCTCAAGTGAGTAAAGCATCTCAAGTGAGTAAAGCATCTCAAGTGAGTACAGGATCTCAAGTGAGTAAAGCATCTCAAGTGAGTAAAGCATCTCAAGTGAGTAAAGCATCTCAAGTGAGTGAAGCATCTCAAGTGAGTGAAGCATCTCAAGTGAGTAAAGCATCTCAAGTGAGTGAAGCATCTCAAGTGAGTAAAGCATTTCAGGTGAGTGAAGCACCTCAAGTGAGTGAAGCATCTCAAGTGAGTAATGCATCTCAAGTTAGTAAAGCACCTCAAGTATGTTAAGCATCTCAAGTGAGTAAAGCACCTCAGGTGAGTGAAGCACCTCAAGTGAGTAAAGCATTTCAAGTGAGTAATGCATCTCAAGTGAGTAAAGCACCTCAAGTGGGTAAAGCATCTCAAGTGAGTAAAGCATCTTAGGTGAGTAAAGCACTTCAAGTGAGTGAATCATCTCAAGTGAGTAATGCACCTTAAGTGAGTAAAGCATCTCAGGTGAGTAAAGCACCTCAAGTGACTAAAGCACCACAAGTAAGTAATTATAAAGCATCTCAAATCAGTTAAGCACCTTAAGTAAAGCATCTCAAGTAAGTAGAGCACCTCAAGTAAGTGAAGCATCTCAAGTAAGTAAAGCATCTCAAGCAAGTTAAACACTTCAAGTGAGTAAAGTACCTTAAGTAAGTCAAGCACCTTTAGTAAGGAAAGCACCTCAAGTAAAGAAAGCACAACAAGTATGGTGAACTCTTCAAGAAGGCTGAACCTAAAAATTGTCAATGTGGTAAGATATCATTTGGCCATTCAGTTGTCTGTATGGCATTCAGCCATGAAGTATATCCCCAGCCCCTCCTTATAAGAGATTTTTAGCTGAATAATATTATCAGTTAGGTAAAATTATTAATTGTAAATTGAAATATTAAACAAATGATAACTCACATTGTAGATATTTATTTTACGTTCTTACATTTAGATAAGATGTTAAAGTTTAAGCCTTTTTCTACAATTACTGTCTATTTAACTATCTATTCACTTATCAGTTTAAACATGACCCTACAAACTACAAAGCTTAAATCCTTATCGTGTTTAAATAAAGGAAATGATTGTCACTGCTTAGGATTAACAAGTACCAGACCACTACGTGAGTACTAACCTAGACCCCATAAGTGCCTCACAAGGAAGTTACGTGTTTGGAACGACTTTTCTTGTGTTTATTTTGCTTGTAAACCTACCAAAACCACTACATGACGATTTTTTTAATAAGAAAATATTTATTTTGACTACTTACAGGTACATATCATGCGAGAAGAAAACGCTTGACTAGGAAATTAACTCTTCCAATTTCCAACACCTTTCAGACCTCTATTTTGACTTCGTCTGCCATCTTATAGCCCATAATTCAATGTGAAGATCCCAGAGTGCAATACGCTCGTTGCACCCGCGAAAACAGCAAATTCGCACCATTTTCGGTAGTTTCCGGAGGTTGAGGATCGCGACTTGTCGTCTTCTTTCGCGCACGAGCCTCGTTACGAGTAATTGAAGTAAATGTTGCTATTTTTTTAAATGCAAGGTAAATTGTGTTAGTGACCGCTTGGGTTTTAAGGAGTGGCACGTGGATGTGGAAGGTTATGAATTTCTTTCGTCAGGCCACAGCAAGGTAATTATTTTAGGTTATAGAAGGTTAAGCGTCTCAATAGATAAGTTACAATACCTCGTTAGGATGCTTCAGAATCTCAGTGTTAATACAAATTCCAGTGCGTCAAAGATATGATCGTCGCACTTCATTAACGTTTATTTGTAAAGAATCCCTCAAGTAATTTTATAACAGAGCTCAATATAGACGATGAGGTGATTAAACTTGAAACATAAGTGCTTTTCGTAAGCGTGTACATGTAAAGGCCTATTTACACGGTACGACTTTGTCGCAAGGGACAAGCTTACGACAGGCCTACGACATGACTTAGGACAATTTACACGCGCACGACATTTTCACCTACGACATTCCAAAATCGCGTGCAATTCCACTCGTTTCGGCCGCGGTCATTGTTTCAATAATTTGCAAGAGAAGGAAAAGAACCTCTTCCTCGCTCCACAGTGATATCATATTCTCTGTTTCTTCATCTGAGAATGTATTTTTCGCTTTGGAAGCAGTCTTCGACTTTCCGGAGGCGACTTCCTCCGCCATTTTGACGCAAGAAAATTTCACCTTCCTCCCCTACTCAATAGAAATTTGTCACAAAATACGTCATTTTCTATCAATTTCGGCTACGATTGTCGCAGCGTTTTAAAACATGTTTTAAAATCCTACGACATTTTTCGTGACGTGCACGACAGTCGTAAGCGAGTGGTAGATTTGATTTACACGATACAATTGGTGTCGTAGGCCTGTCGTAAGCTTGTCGCATGCGACAAAGTCGTACCGTGTAAATAGGCCTTAATGCAATAGAATTGAAAGCTTTCAATCGAAAGTTGTGCGTGCTTAGTGAAATTGAACATATCAAGATTTCCAAACAACTACTAGGATATTGCAAGGGTTCAACTCCCGTACAGGCCTGAATTCTTTGTCAGGCTTTATTTTCACTTCTGTTCAAGTGGTGTTCATTACTGCGAAGATCACCCTCATTTAATGTACTGTTAGTCTTGCGTACAGGCAGTTTATCGGAAAAGATCAACATCTTTCTCTACGCAGATCGTGTCCTCTTCGCTTCAAACCTGTGAACATAACATTTTACGATCGTTTGGAATCGAGAGAGACCGTTTCATTGCAATAAATCCACAATTCCGGGACGGATTTCCGATTGATATTTAAATGCAATAAATAAATTGACCTAGTTCATGTGTTAAGTGAAAATGTTTTTATAGTTTCTTTGACGTGGTTTCCAGGTTGCGTCTGTCGAGTTAGTGATTTTGCATGAGATGCCTTTGATTTCAACAAAAGTATTAAAATTAGCAACAATTTATGAATATGTCTGTTGTAGAATCCTCAAAATGTAATATTTGAGAGAAGGAATATGTGAACCATTATGGCTTTTGGTAAGTGTTAATTGCTAATTATTTTTTTGCTCACAAATGTTATTCTACATTTCAAGTTGATACAATATATAATCATCTGGCCCTGGTTGTTCGAAAGCCGATTAGCGCTAACCCAAGATTAAATCGCCATAACCCAAGAATAAAATTTAACCTATGATTAGTTTCTGTTCCTGAAAGCGCGATTAGCACTATCCCAGGGTTAAAATAAAGGTTAACTTTAACACACCTAGCGAGGTGGATTAACTCACTAATCGAAGGAAAACTTTCCCCAAACAAAACAAAATGGCCGACTTATTACTTGGCGGATTAGGCTTAATGCCGGCCCCAAAAAGGAAAGAAAGGACATTTAGGCTACCAGACGACTTTTCCCTGTCCAATTTTACGGATGAAGAATTGAGAAGTCGATATCATTTTGGCCGAGAGTCCATAGAATTTTTATCTGAGCTCCTTCGCGACGATCTTGAAAGAGATACATCTCGAAACCATCCTTTGTTGACAACTGTGCAAGTCCTTGTAGCATTGCGCTTTTTCGCCTCCAGAAGCTTTCTTCAAGTTATTGGAGATACTCTGGGCCTGTCAAAGTCATCCGTGTCCCGTATAATCAGTCAAGTTTCGCTTGCCCTTGCACAGAAACAAAGAAACTTCATCAAGTGGCCATCGACCGAAGAGGAGATACTTCAAAACAAACGCGGTTTTTTTACCAAGGGGGGATTTCCTGGGGTGATTGGCTGTGTTGACGGCACTCACATCAAGATTCAGGCACCACATGAAAACGAAAACGATTTTGTCAATTGTAAAGGGTTCCATTCTATAAATGTGCAAGCAATTTGCAATCACAAAGGTAGGTAAAATACTCAAATGTCACAATTAGTGTTCTATAAAAATTGCAAAATAACCTTTGGCAGGGAGGGGTACTCCCCTTATAGAAGGTTTTAGATTGAGATTTCTAGCACACCAGCTGCTATGGGGTTGCATTGTTGGGAGTTACTAGATCGCAGTTTCACATATTCAGGAAATGGGAGTAGTGATAAAATTTTTTTTTTTTTAATATTTTTTGAGTCAAATGGTATAGGTGGAGTTTGGTTTGCAAACACACATATGGAAAATTGACCAAAATTATCACACCAATATTTTAACGAAAGTATAAAAAAGTAAAAAACAAGGGAAAAAAACAAGAAATAATGTGCGATATTTGTGAATATATTGCTCAGCTAACGACCAACAGAGTGCAACAATCAGCAGGGATTTCAAAATGATGCAGTCTCCCAAATTTCAAAAAACAAATTAAATAATGAAAAGGTTTTCTAAGTAAACTAAATATTTGTATCAGTTATCCCAGTTCATCATAGACACAATTATTGTTGTTTCTCTTTGCAGTACATCATTGTTATAAACTGAGATGAGATTTTCTACATCATATGTAAGAAATGGTCACATAACTTCTTTGCTGTTTCATTTTAGGCATGTTTACCAACATTGTAGCACGATGGCCAGGAAGCACCCATGACAGCTTCATATTTAGGGATTCAAGAATTGGCCAACAACTTAATATCCAACACCAGTCCCTGGAAGATGGTTTACTGTTGGGTGACAGTGGTTACCCTTGCAAGCCGTACCTGATGACCCCTTACCTGAATCCAGTCACTGACAAGCAGCAAGAGTTCAACAGTGCCAACAAAAGAACAAGAGTGGCAAAAGAACAAGCCTTTGGCTGGTGGAAGCGAAGGTTCCATCTGTTTCATTCTGAGATCAGAATGAAGCCAGAAAAAGTGTCCATCATCATCGGAGCATGTGCAGTTTTACACAACATTGCAATTCTGAGAAAGGAACCTTTCAGTGGATGGCTATGCTGAGGCTGATCATCAACCTAATCCTGTTTGTTTCCGTGGTCCAGAGGATGGCAAGGTCATCCGAGACCACATCTGCAACACCTTTTTCTGACAATTTTTAATTTTTGTATTTCTGCCTTATGCAATCAGTTTTGCTCTTAATTTAACTTCCCATAAAATATAAAAAATTCATATATGCATTTAAGGGGTTTCTGGTTGAAAAAACACATTAAAATAAGTTTGACTCAAGAATCTGTTTTATTACGTCAAAATGCATTTTGAGAACAAAATACATAGTGTATGTTTTATAATGAATTATACATGAACAACATTTGCCCAAAATGTTTCTTTTAGAGGACTTATTACACTATTCCTCATTTAAAATGAATCGGTGTTGGCAACTACAAAATTTGCATTTAATGCAGTTGCAAAGGTTTGGTTGGCATTGGCCTGTTGCTCCAAAAGATGAATTTGCATTTTCAATTTTTGTTTTTTAAGATTCAGCGTTTCCTTCTGAGTACACAGGCATTCGTACTGCATTTTTAGAACATCGTCATTACTTATCCTTTTTGAAGGCTTTTTCCGTTCATCAGCCTTGGCTGGTGAAGAATGCATGTATTCATTGAGCCTCAGACAGTCTTCTTCAAACACAGTCTTTGCAGACTCTGCTGGTAAATGAGCATCTTCTCCTACAAAATATTTCAAGCACAATTAAGGTTTCACTCAGGCTCAAAAAGTGTGAATTTAGTTTTATGCATCACATAAATGAAATAACAGAAGGAGCATCTCTCCCGCAAGGAATCTGAGGCTTAAACATGTAAAAAATAAATTATTCAATTTCATAAAATGAATTTGTGTACTGGTAGACTTAACTCAGTGAAATCATTTACGAAAATACTTATAAAATCTGTAAGTCATGTACCAAAAGTTAAGCTAATTTTAGACAGATAAAGGGGAATCAGAGTGAATTGACAACGAGAACCGTACCACAGTTTAGTGATCGAAATAATAGGACATGATAACAGGTACAACAACAAATTATTTTGTCAATCACAAACATAAACAAAGTTGCGTCAAAACGAAATGATAAAAATTAGTTATTTATACATGTAAATAGTCGTTCGTAAATATTTGAAGAACACTCCTTAGTACAAGATAAATAAAGAAAAAATAGGGGCACTTTGTCTTTAGCAAACAAATTTTAACCAAATTATAAACTGTATCCAAGACATTCTTCGAAATCAAAGGTTTTTGTCTCACTCCTCAGATTGCTTTCCAAAATGATGGAGCTATGCAATCTTTGACATATGAATTAATCAAGTGAAGCTGAAATTTATATATATGTCTGCTAAATTACTGACAGTCCGTCATGAGCGTTCGTCTATATTCAGCTTAAACAGGGTTTAATCGAATGCAACCCTATAAATGCCGCAAAAGCAGCAAACCGGTTTGGAGTTCTCCGTAGCAGCCTTCGCTTAGTGAAGTACACTCATGAAACGTGACGGGATAATAAACTAAACAAGGTAAAACTTGATTAATACAGTTACGGATATTGGAAAAAAAAAACATGCAAACTTATCTTTTCCTCCCTTGTGTCCGAACATTTCGTATGCTCAAAGACAGGAAAGCGATTGATAAGCTGAAAACCTCTCCGAAACAACATGGCCGGTTGATTGTCTACAATTTTAAAATTTTTGGTAACCTAGAAACAATAGAGAATTGTTTACAAACCTGTCTCAAAGCCAATCAAACCGCTGAACGCTGGTGTGTCCTCAAGCAATAATCTCTTTGCTGGCAACACTCTGCGACTTTGGAGGCCGACCACCTCCAGTTATCTTGGTCTCCCTCTTGAATTCTGCAAATTCTTTCTTGGCGATGCTATGGAGATTTTTCCACTTGTCTTTTACCTCCGTGACTGTTCGCCTTGCTGTTCTGACGGCATTTACCGCTTGGGTTATTTCTTCCCATAGCATTTGTTTCTTTTTGTTGGTCACAGCATTCGTTAATTTGGATTGGATTAAATCGAGATTTTTTTTGACATTATCGGTGATGACTTCAATCTCATAAACTGCAAAATTCTCCTTTCTTTTTCTGTCTTTCGTTTGGTTTCCACTTCCATGTGCACCCTTCCTTTCCGCCATTTTTTCCCTCCAATTTTTTTTTTGCGCGTAGCCGCATAGCTCTTAATAACTGGTTTGACTGGTTTAACCTCAGCTTAATCGTGGGATAGTTAATCAAGGGATAAATCTGCTTTCAGGAACGTTATTGCGGGCGACCAGCGGAGCCCGCAATCCTAATCTCAACATTGGTTACAAATGCATGCGCGGCAGTTATATAGCCTTGCAGTGACTCAAATTTAGCAAAAAAAGTCGTCCTTCCAAATATTTGTCCCTAGGGACACTAAGAACCAATGAAATGAAAGGACATAATTTGAGCATAGGCGCTTTGACCACACGAGACAAACACGAAGCAGCAGTAATTTGAGCACAGGCGCTCTGACCGCTAGAAACCAACACCAAGCAGAAGACAATTCTCACCAAAGCATAGCTGTTTCACGTTCCAGTCAATGATCTTTAATGTAGTTGAAGGGCTCAAATAATATGTAATTTTCGCCTTCTTGAAGCTAAGAATGTCAAGAATCACGTGCAGTTCATGCAGAAGTGGCGGTCCATAAATTGGAATGCACACAACACAATTTTATCATGTGGACGACGTCTATTTCGTCGAAGAATCACGTGCAGCTCATGCATAGCTGGCGCGCCGTCCAATCAAAATCGAGCGTGTGAACTTGTGATCAGAACGTTTCCTGTTCATGTCTGTTGTTGTCGGGTATCGAAATCTTCCTTGACTCAATCAATATGTCCATTTTATAATCAACAGTGTTTTTATTTACAACGTGAAAAAACAACCATTTTGTCAAACCCAACACAAAATAGAACTGGTGTATAATCAAACTGGTGTTACTGTTTCACAAGGCCAGTAAAATCACTCTTAGGTCCCTTTGTCTCGTTTATGGGAAAACAATCACCCACACTATGCAACCCTTTATTGCGCTGCAAATATAAATGCCCAAAATGGAAAAAGAACACAACGCCACTGTTTTACAATGAAATCGTTAACCTCAGTGAAACAAATCATGCATAGCCCTCACACGCACTTCCTAACCTGTGGTTATTACTAGTTTTAAACCTAGATTAGCTATCCTTGGGATAAGAAATTTAATCGTCGATTAACCTCTAATTGAGGGATAATTTAATCGGCTTTCGAACAACCGGGGCCTGTTGTTTACTGGACAGGAGGTCTATACCATGAAAAACTTTGCTGAGGTCTTGCTGAGAGCCTTACTTAAGAGAGAGGGCACAGTTTTTTGCAATACATATCTAGACTGGTAAACACTGGGTTTTTTCCCCTACAGTGAGTTAGATTATACTGTTGCAGGCTTTGTATTCATAACTGAGTTGTTGACTCCAACAATATGCCCTCCACACCCAGCTTGTGACGTTGCAATCCACGATTTAAGCAACAGAAATCACCAAACCAAGCATCATAAAGAACACGTCTATTTTTGCCCATCTAAAATCAGTGACAATTGATTCATGTGTTAGGTTCTTTAGTGAGCAAGTGAAAGTTGCTCACTAAATCAATTATATTAATGCAACTGTCTCATAGATCATTAATTGGTCAGCTGTCTGCAAACTATCTGAAAACCAACTACCTGGCACAGTGGTGAGAGTGCTTGCCTCTTATTGTGGCCTGGGTTTGATTCCCAGACCTGGTGGCACATATAGGTTGAGTTTGTTGTTGGTTCCTGTCCTTGCTCTGAGGGTTTTTTCTCCAGGTCCTTTACTTTTCCTCCCTCTGCAAAACCAACACTCCAAATTCCAATTTGATTTGAAACAGTGGACGGGAAGAGCCATGTCTTAGATTTTCCACTGTCATATAATGATTATAATTATCAACTCCTGTAGATTCCCTCAACTATTCTTTTTCTACATAACTAAATTGCTGTGGCTGAAACACTCTTGGTTGGTCAGAGACACACAGGTGTCAAATCAGAATCCAAGAGTAGTGAAGTCACAGGACTATTCTGCCAAACTCAAGTGATTAAGCTATGAACTCTGCCAACCCACAGTTGATGACATTTTGAAGGAAATGGCTTGTTCACAGGGCAAATGCACTGTTCACAAGGCAATTTTGTGGTTCTTTTAAAGAATTATTCTCTTAACCCACAATATTATTATTTTTAGGAACCCTTTAATAACATACTCATGCATTAAAGGGTCATCCTGCGCAGATATTTGTTATTATTGTGTTATCATCTAAAGGTGTTGTAGAATATTGTGGTAAGTATTCAGTGAAACTCATATGTTTCATTTCTACTCTAGGGCTTTCATCAAAGGTCAGAAGGCCATCCAGTTCCCTAAAGAAAAAGTTGATGGTTCGGTTAGAATTACATAGAGACTCTATGGATATCCTTAAAATAGTGCTAAGGATCAATGAAACCCAAGGCAAGACAGTTCAAGAGGTTATTGCCCTTGCTGAAGAAAAAGATGGAGAACTGTTTCTTGATACATGGAGGTTTATCTTTGAACTTCTCTCCTTAACAAAAGATTTTGAGAAACTTGTCAATGCTGATCATTGGCAACTGACAGATCCTATTAAAACCTTAGAAAGTCCTCTTCACAACCAGCATGCAAGGGATGCTTATCACAACACTTGCAAGAGAAGTGTGCAGGAGAATGCACCATACAGCAACAAGCCTGAGGAGCCTCTTTCAAACAAACTGAAGGAACCAAGGATTAATAATCGAAAAGGTGAGGCATGTTTATGTTTAAATTTGGACTTATCACATTCTAGAATGAGTAAATATTTTTAAATATAATATGTTTCTTTATAGAGGAAATTACTCTTGTAAAGGTAATTATGGTCTTTTAGTTGACTGATGTGGTGTGAATGAAGTAAATGAAAATTTTATCACCTGGCTCATTGTATCTGAAAATTGCACATCTGCTGCAATTTTGCTATCTCCACTGGGAGATAATTTGTAATTTCTTCCTATAGTATCCATAAATTATCTCTCAAATGGTGATGAGAATATACACTCAAAACTTTTAGGCAAGGTAGAAGTTGCTATCTTAATCTAACACCAAATTCTTGTAACTAATTTATATGGAAATGTGCAGCACCCAGAGGGGAGAATTAATAATCAGGTGTTGGGAGTTGAACATTTATAAACTGCTCATTAGGCCACTGCTTATTAACACCTTTCTCAGAATGAAAGTATAAAATTAGGATCAACATTTCCAAAGGCAAGGGACAGATGAGAGGTGGCTATGTCAGTTGCAGTATTAAAATGTCAGCATTAAACAACAAAATTAAACTTTAAACTTAGAGCAATTTTATTACTACCTTTACTGTAATTGTCCCCTTGTTTTCTTGTAATAAGTGTCAAGATTGGAGACCCAGAAGACAAGGTCTTCATCAGAGAATTGGCCAGAATGGAGTTTACCACCACCTTCAGAAGATAGCCTGAGCCAGGAAACTTGGAAAGAAACTAGTATGGAAATGGGAGATGACAAAGCGAAAGGAGAAAGAACTGTTTCTTTAGATGGGCGGAACTTGCAGCAATTTTGGAATGATAACCCTCCTTTGTTATCACCAGCACCTTTACCAGCTGTAGTCCCTGCTAGCCAGTTGGAGCAATCTGCTGCACCTGACACAGGTGTTACAGAGAAAGAGGAAGGCAGGAGTTCAACATGGCAGATCAATTCAGGTCAAGGTTTGTCTTCAGGTGACTCACAACCAATTATGATCAGCTACTCATAACCAGTCATAAGTATAGGACAAAGAAAAATTTTTGACTTCTCATTAGTAATCCAACCTCAGACCTTTTGATTCTGCATTTCAAGTTTACCACACATTAATTTTTACCCATCTAAAATCAGTGACAATTGATTCATGAGTTGATATGTTTTTAAAGTAAGGAAAGTTGCTTACTCTTTTGTTGATGCAGCTGTCTCATAGATCATTAATCATTCAGTGGTGTGCAAACTATCTGAAAACCAATCACTTGGCACAGTGGTGAGAGAACTTGCCTCTTCCTGTAGCCTGGATTTGATTGTTATACTTAGTGTCACATGTGGGTTGAGTTTGTTATTGGTTCCTGTCCTTGCTCAGAGGGTTTTTATCTAGGCCTTCTGCTTTTCCTCCCTCTGCAAAACCAACATTTTAAATTCTAATTTGACCTGGAAACAGTGGACAAGAAGAGCCACCTCTTGGATTGTCCACTGCTATATCATTATCTGCCAAACTCCAGTGAAGGTATGAACTCTGCCTACTTACAGCTGATAACATTTTGAAGAAAATGGCTTGTTTATTTGGTTTTTTTCCTCACTGTTCACAAGGCAATTTTGAAGGAACCCTTTACTAACATACTCATGCATTAAAGGGTCATCCTGCGCAGATATTTGTTATTATTGTGTTATCATCTAAAGGTGTTGTAGAATATTGTGGTAAGTATTCAGTGAAACTCATATGTTTCATTTCTACTCTAGGGCATTCATCACTGGTCAGAAGGCCATCCAGTTCCCTAAAGGAAAAGTTGATGGTTCGGTTAGAATTACATAGAGACTCTATGGATATCCTTAAAATAGTGCTAAGGATCAATGAAACCCAAGGCAAGACAGTTCAAGAGGTTATTTCCCTTGCTGAAGAAAAAGATGGAGAACTGTTTCTTGATACATGGAGGCTCATCTTTGAACTTCTCTCATTAACAAAAGATTTTGAGACACTTGTCGATGCTGATCATTGGCCATTGACATTAGAGAATGCTCTTCAAGACCAACATACAAGGGATATTAATTATAACACCTGCAAGAGAAATCCTCAGGAGAATGCACCATGTCGAGGTAAACCTTGATTTGTCGATAAAACAGTCTGGACATCATCATTTTCTGCTCAAACATTCTTAAGCAGTGAGTTTTATTGCAGGTCGTTATATAGCTCTAGACAGAAATCATCAGGCTCGGGTTATTCAAAGGGTGGATAATGCTATCCACTGGATGAATTGCTATTTGGTGGATAGAGCAGTTTGTTTTGCGAACACTTATCCACCAGATAGTGATTTATCTGTTGGATAGCATTATCCACCCTTTTAACTACTGGGCCCAGGCAAACAACCTCACCTTAATGCCAAATTGAGACCTTACCTTACCTTAAAAATAGAACAATAACCCCTCTTTGCAGATATTGCCAAATAAACTCGTACCTTCACACAGAAATTTGGCAGGATTATGTTCCCGCACTTACCTGATGTTTGGGACTTGCTTACTGAAAAGACATTTCACACTTAGAGAGCTCCCTAGTGTAAATGCCAAAGATGTATCGTTCCAAGTGTTAAGTAATACTCCTGTATCTCCAGAACATAATGCAGTCAAAATCTCTCTTGAAAACCTGGTCCTTACCGAGCTCACTGGCCTCCATGCTGACTCAGAGTCAAAGGTCTGATCAGAGTGAAATATTAGTTAGCTGGTACAATTTAACTTTGGAATTGTCGTGGCAGAACAGATAATTGCTCTTTGTGTTAAAAACCAATAAATCTGTAGATCACGGACAGAACATGCCAGGTACAACAACTGTACTTGATCATCATGTCATGCAGTGTAAACAGGCTATCTTCAAATGTCATGACACATAGGGCTTAGTTAAGCCATTCTTGTTGCTGCATCATTCTGCAAATGTGAAAATTGCTATTCATGTTATGATTGTGTAGTTATTTCCAAAGAGAAAATTATGCAAAAGAGTTGTAAATTTACATGGCACTCTTCACTTGCAAGCCATGTGGATCCTCATGCTTGTTTACATTTTAATCATCAACTTTAATTAATTTCACACTCAAAGCCAAACACCTCTCTTTCAATTGCAAATTGAGTCCTCTTGCCTCACATTGACCAGCCTGTGGATCATCTGACACTTCCCTGGTGAGAATTTTGTTTCTTGAGAAGAGCTCATCATGGGAAGTTTCTCCTGTATAGGTAATCATGGTCTCTTAAATGACTAGTATGGTGTGAATGAAGTATATGAAGATTTCATCACCTGGCTTATATCTGAAATTATAATTAAAATCTGCTGCAATTTTGCCCTCTCCATTGGGTGGGGGGAGGGTTGGTGACTTTGAATGACTTCAGAATGAAAGTGTAAAATTAGGATCATTTACCAAAGGCCAGGGACAGATGAGAGGTGGCTTTGTCAGTTGCAGGATTAAAATGTCAGCGTTAAACAACAAAATTAAACTTTAAACTTAGAGCAATTTTATTAGTATCTTTATTGTAATTGTCCCCTTGTTTTCTTGTAATTAGTGTCAAGATTGGAGACCCAGAAGACAAAGTCTTCATTCAAGAATGGGCCAGAGCGGAGTTTACCACCACCTCCAGAAGATAACCTGAGTCGGGAAACTTGGAAAGAAACTACTTTCATGGAAACAAGAGATGATGATACAGAACATCAGAATCTAGTAGTTGATGAAGCTGGAGAAAGAACTGTTTCTTCAGATGGGCAGAACTTGCAGCAATTTTGGGGTAGTGACACAGATGAAAGTATAGATAAAGAGGACCACAGTGGTTCAGCATGCCAGATTGACACCATTCCAAGTCTATATTCAGTTGACTCAAGGACCTCAAGCACTGGAACAAGACCAGTGACCCCTGAACCTGTGGGCAGACTTACAGGTCATCAATTACATCTGAACCAGGAGGACAGTCAGGAAAATGATTTGGTTGGAGAAACTTGTCCATCTGTAACTGATGATGCAACTGAGAACAGTGATAACTTTCAGCAGGTAAGTAATTGGATGAGTAGCTTTGTCAGTATCATTCTTGCTTTACTTCAGGTTTACTGCCACATGCGCTGTACTCCCTATGTCATGTCAATTTGGAATTATCTAGCTCCTGTAATCAGGATCCAAACCCTTACTTCATTGATTATTTCAACTTCCTTCATCAAAAGTAAGTAATGATTCATGCACATCATTCCCATTTAGCAGATCCATCCATATAAATACAAAATACACTATCAATGGTGTTCCATGTGAAATGACTTTCAAAGTCTGTCTACCTGACAAAAGCCATCTAAACAGCTGCAGTTTTCTGCAATTAATCCTATATGAGTAACTAATTTCTGCCAAATATTTTAGACATCATTCTAATGTTAATGGCATGAATATGTACCAAATATGAAATACTCAGTTGACTGATTTTATTGTGTTTCACTCAGAGCCCAAGGGAAAGGTCCTTAGAGCTTGAAGCTTACCAACTGGAGCTACAGGTGATGTTGTTAATACCATCCACAGAAACCAAATTTTTGCTGGAAAATACACTTCCACAAAAAGTTAAGGTTATTTACCCATGACTGATTGTAGCAGGTACTGGCAGAAAAAATAATTATCTGTGCCACACAGGAAACATGTTCTAATATCAAAAGCAATGGTTATGATTTCATGTTGATCATTGGAATATTATTATTAGTAATTTTATTTATATACTTCGGAGAGTGCTCCTTTTTTTTCAACAGAGCTAAAATTTCACATCTCAAGGCATGCAACTTGAAAATTAAGCCTTGTACAGAAAGATTCTTTTTTGTTTTTCATTCCCTTGGTTTTTTTCCAACTCAACCAGATTGCTTCAATAAAAAAAATTATTTTTTCTGTAATTGCAACTTACAAAATAATGTATTGCATAGTGTGTGTATTGCAATTGTTAATGATTAGTGCTCTTACAACTAGATGTTGTTTATAATTATTTTATATCTTATTTTAGTGGTGTGAACAGCAGTGTGCTCAGCAACAAGGAACCATTAATGAAGTAATTTGAGAGTAGTACTGCAGATGTAAAGAATTTTCATCACATTGCTAGTTTATATGTATATACACATAGGTGCAGGGATTTCACTTGTAAGTACTGGGTAGCCTTATAAACTTGCAAAGTCTAGTATTTTGAAATAAGCTAATGAGCAAGATGGTGTCTCTTCCATCAGATTATGATTTATCAAGATAAATGTATGTTTTCCAAAATCAACAATGTTCAGAATCAATTCCAGCTGAGGAGCCTACGCCCTAGGCTTTGATCAATATGAGTGCTGTGGAAAGAAGAAAAAAAATTGGAGATTTTTCATTTCTTTCATGACAAATTATGTCTTTCGTGTTTGTTTTCCAATGATTATTGTCACATGTATCAAAAAAAAATTAATATCCAATCACGTTGCCAGTTTCAGAGACAATTAGACTGAGTGTGTTCAGCATTACATTATATATTTTAAAATATCATGGTCTATAATTTCAATTTTTTTTTCCTTCATGCAATTAGGATTTTTTTCTTGCAACCATTTCATGATAATTGCAGTTCACCAAATAGTGAATTGGAATAAATCTTAGCTCAGAGACTTAGCTCAGAGACTTAGCTCAGAGACTTAGCTCAGAGACTTAGCTCAGAGACTTAGCTGGATTGAGCTATTGGTGGTCAGCTTTACCCTGTAGGTTTTGTTAATTTTTACTTTGCATTTAATTAACTTTTCTTGATTTTCAAGTTACAAAGAATCTTGTATGACAGCTTTTTTCTGGAGGCAGAAAATCAGCAATTGATAAGAATGACCCAAGAGGTTTGTACTTTCCATTTGCAATTTTTGACTCCTAGCTAGCTGCTGGTTTTTTTTTACTGTTGGAAATAGAGTGATCCTAGTTAATGTTTCATCAATAGTAGAAAAAGTTATGCAGGAATTATATTTTATTGGTTACAATTGTGTGGTTAATATCAAACTGAATCGTACCCTTTTTAGTTGAGTGAAATGAAAGATCAAGAAATTGAGCAACTCACACAGGTATGTGCTAGTTTTATTTTTTTCATTATGATAATCCATTATGTTATTCAAATTTGTTGTGTGGTTAATGTCAGTGCACATGCTTATAATTAAGGGAAACTTTGATGTTCAACATATTGAGTAATCTGCCTTTTTTATTTTAGTTGTGTGGCCAGAAAGACCAGGATTATGAAAGAATGGCAGAGGTAACTTTTTCAGCATTTGATACAAGGGTTTCCCTTAATAAATAAAAGAGAAAGGCAGTGATGTGATAGAGGTGTTTTTATTGTTGGAAAAAGAGTCTCTATCCCCTTGTAAGAAAAAGTTAACACCAGCCACGGCCTACAATTACCAGGTTGCATAGTGAATATTTTTATCTATGCCAAACAAGTAATGTTTTCCATATACTTCTAATAAACCTTTTTTTTTTTTTTTTTGAAAGAGCTTCATTTTACATCCCAAATAATGCCTGTCAAAGATATAGCCTAGTACAGAAATGGTATTTTTAATTGTTGTGGTTGATTTTTTTCAATCTAGGGGATTGTTGCACTATAAAATTTCTCTCATGTAATCAGTATATAACTTTGTATGTAGTTGTGTGACCAGAAAGACCAGGATAATGAAAGACTAGCAGAGGTAAATTTTTTTCCTTAAATAAAAGAAATAGGCAACAAATGTAATAGGAGCATTTTTACTGTTGGAAATAAGGGTCTGTGTCTCCTTGAAGAGGTTAATGCCAGCCACAACATACCATTTATCACTTCAAGTTTTAAATGTTTTACTGCAAATACACTTGCAAGATGTGTTGGGGTTATTTATCACTGACTGATTACAGCTTCACCAAGTGGCAGAATGTCAATCTTTGATCTGTACCACACAGGAAATGTGTTCCAATATCAAAAGCCATAGTCATGATTTGTTGTTGATAATTGAAATAGGGTAATTTATTCACATACTTATTTATTTGCATAAAGTTCTAATTTTTAATAGATCTACTTTTTCACATGCCAAGTAACACACCTTGAAGTGGAAGTGGGAAGTAGTGGATATATACTGCCTTGCAAAGTGGCAAAGTGGAAACAGTTTAATTTTGCCTGTCTTAAATGTTCTTGTAAGTTGATTTTACCCTTTTTTTTTTTAAAGGAAATTGAAAGACTAAGAGGGGAGCACAGACAGGTAGGGTTTGTTATGTGACATTTTATTTGGTATATAAAATAAAACGTTTGCCAAAAACTTTGGCAGAAAAATTATTCTCAAATATTGTCCACCAGAGTAGTGGGCTATTATATTACATGCATTTTACCCATGAAATAGTTTAATTTTTCCTGTCTTAAATGTACTCTTATTGAAGCTTTTCTTTACAAGGAAATCGAAAGTCTAAGAGGGGAGCATAGACAGGTAAGGTTTGTTATTTCAAAATATTTTATTACATTTGTAAAAAGGTTTGCCAAAAAGTTTTAGCAGGAAAATTATTCTTAAACATTTCTGCTTGAGCAGTGGGCTGTAATATTACATGTATTTAAATCATGAAATAGTTTAATTTTGCCTGTCTTAAATGCACTCTTTGGCTGATTGTAACTTTTATTTACTATACAAGGAAACTGACAGACTGCGAGGGGAGCATGCACAGGTAACGTCTCACATTCACATTTTTGTTCCTTTGCTCCTCCAATTTTTGTAAATTATGAACTAACTAGTTTGTATAGGTAATCACATGAGGCCAAGTACTATTAAGGATTCATTGCACGAGAGTTTTCAAAATTTTCCAAAATTGCCCGAGTTGCGAAGCAACGAGGGCAATTTGGAAAGTTTTGAAAACTCAAGTGCAATTAATCCTTAATAGTACGAGGTCTCATGGGATTACTTGTTTATCAATAAAGGGCAAAATTTATACGAAGGAAAATCAAAATTTCAAGATAACGAACAGTTGCTATGCAACGGATTAGCCAATCATTAACTGGTAATCATGCCCTCTCTTGATTACTAAAAATGCCCTCGATTAAGAAAAAAATGCCCTCTCTCTCAACCAATCAGCGCTCAGTAATTTTGCCCTTTATTGATAAAAGGACAAAACACATGAAAGTGCAATCAGAGTAGTGGGCTGTAATATTACATGTATTTTATTCTTGAAATAGTTTTATTTTGCCTATCTTGAATTAACTTGTAACATGATTGTAAATTTTATTTACAAGGACATAGACAGACTGAAAGGAGAACATAGACAAGTAAGGTTTGCTATGTAATATTTTATGTTATGTGTAAAAAGGGTTTGCTAGAAAGTTTTGTAGGTATGTTATGCAAAATAATTTTCCACCTGAGCAGTGGGCTGTAATATTTCATATGTTTTACTGATAAAGTAGTGTAAGATTGCCTGTCTTGAATGTACTTGTATGTTAATTGTAACTTCTTTTTTTTTTAAGGAAACTGACAGACTTAGAGGGGAGTTTGTACAGGTGCAGTTTGTTATTTGATATTTTTATTATATGTCAAAAGGCCATGGGTGTGGCTTTGGTTCATGGTATGTTTTTGATCCCCTCCTCTGGTCGTGAAGACACATGTATGGTCATAATGACTGGATGGCTGCTTTGTTTATTTGTCTGTTTGTTTTTTGCTTAATATTTCTATATATATATATATATGCATGCTCACTAGTTTATCTAGTTTGAGCACTCTGGCATGGCTTAGATGATACCACACGTGTGAGATCACTTGGGGTGGCTATATAGCCTTACCTCCATCCTAGCATCAGCACTGCACTGATGAGGCCCAGAAGGCCGAAACAGTACTGTCTGCAGTTAGTTATATATATATATATATATATATTGGCGTCTACAACAGAAACTGACAAAACCGGAAAGAGTTACACTAGACTAACTGAAGGAACTTTTAAACAACGTTACACGTTACACGTAACACAAACTTTCTTTTCAGAACAGAAACTATTCAAACAGCACGGAAGTATCAATGAAAGCATATCTGGACACTCAAAGACAACAACACCAATTTTATAATTAACTGGAGTATTTTAGCGACCGTCCCGGCCTACAGCAACAAAAACAAGCGGTGCCACTTGTGCCTCACAGAAAAACTTTATTTAGTTAGAGCTAAGAAACCGTCTCTATTAAACAAAAGAACAGAACTCGTTTCTAAATGCCGCCACGAGAATAAGTTTTACTTAGCAAATTTCACAAGCCGCCAACAATAGCTCTATAGAATCTTTATTTCACACGTAGATCAGATCATCACACTAGTGAATTAATTAGCTACTTATCTAATTTATATATAAGGAGGTATGTTCTTCACTGACTAAAGTTCTTTGACGAGCGCTTAGATGCGAAACTCAGAGTAACAGAGGATCGATGCGTCCTCTTTGATTCTTTCACTTATATATATATATATATTTTTTTTTTTAAATTATTTTTTAATTATCTTTAAATTATTTTTTTTTTACATTGAAGATGATCCATCAAATGGACCAAAGAAGTAAATGTTCTCAGACCCAAATAGAGAATCTGAGAAGAGAGAGACAAGAACTTTCTGAGGTACTTTGTGATTCAAGTGAACATTTAATTTACAATTTGAAATGAATGGGAAACGTTAGGATGTTTGCGTTCAATTGCAGATTGAATGAGTCTGAGTACTTAAGGCAGATAAAAAAGTTGTCAGGATATTTAATATGGACACACCTACTTTTAAAAAATTTTAACATCAGCAAATGTTTACACTCAATTTCAAAAAACATTGACCCTAAAAAGCGCAAGCAGTGAGAGATAAAACCCAACGGCTTTGTGGGTACACTTTTACTCGATGACCACAATTCATTTCACGTGGTGAATGACAGAAACCATCCACGCTCTCTTGAAAGAAAATAATTATTATAAACGAAGATTTTTCATGAGTAACGGAAATAAAGCATCGATTATGTAGCTATGAAAACTTTTCCCAGAAAGCCAACGGGTCTCATAATTCATGGATCATGCTTTTCAGGTGTCAAATTATTTGCAATAGAGTGTAAATGAACTTGCACGTATAGCAAGGGCTAGTAAGCATCATTAGGTCTCAATGTTTTAAACTCTGGGGGCACCAGGTGTTAGCACTAGTCAGTGAGTTTGCTTTTGATTGAGGAATGCAGATTAGTATTTGCTGAAATACTCAATATAACATAACGTGTTTCTTTTCAGGAACTGCAACAGATCGGTGCAGAGGTCCGAGAGTCACACGAACGTAAACTTGAACTTGAAGCGGAACTTGAGTGTATGAGGCGTGATGATGAAACGTTGTTAGATCAGAGGATGACAGAACTTGTACAAGCTTTTATTAACGCGGAGTCAGATGAAGTAAAAGTAATGAAACAGGAACTTGCAAAAGAAAAACGGAAAAGAAGAGAAGCAGGGGAGACTATTAAAGGCTTGTTTAAGGTGAGATGCGTTTTTGGACGTTGAAGACACCCAAATAGTTGTGTAGTTCATCGTATAATGAGTTGCAGATAAATGGTGGTTTAATCGTTTTCTTGCCTTTTAGAGTAGATTTGATTGTTGATTACAGCGTTTCGATTCTCCGATTACAGCGTTTCGATTCTCCGTCATGCAATGAAGTGGAAAGTTACACACACTGATTTCACTCAGAGTGCTGATTCCAGTGTTTTTTTTTTTTGCGCTTTCTTTGTTCCCTTTCGATGCTCATTGCTCCATCTAGGTATTGCTAGTCTCTCCTTGGCCTACTTTGTTACTGACTGTTCGAATGAAAGATGCTGTGAAAAGTCTTACACTCATGTCATTTATTTCCTAAAAATTTTAATGTGCAGGCAATGATGAACGAATTAATGGAAAGTTCTGGTAGTGTCGCATGTGCTGATGGAATGCAGGAGGATCCTGGTTCAAGCAGCACTGTAAGTGTTATGTCTCAACTGTTCGTTAACAGTGAGTAGCGCTCGCCGTTAAATAGAGAATAATGAATGCATGGGCGAGCGTAGATGTGGAATTCCTCTTCGAGTGTTCTACTCGATAGCTCACGAGTGAGATGTCGAGATGAAGAAACGAGAAACGAGAAACGAGAAGAAAACTTACATATCTACAAGGAACCATGTATTATTTGGTTTTCTTGTAAACACGATAGCCCTTTACTCACAAGAAAAGACACCTTTACTAATGAATGAAAATAAAAGGATCGACAATACTGGGATAAAAATCGTAAAGTGCGTTGGCGCTAAGGCTCAAGATGAAAGAATGCGTTAAGAATCATCACCAAAACAACAATGGACGTAGTTTTTAATATACAAAATTCTCAGTTGTGGACTTTGTCCTTACTGACAGAAGAAATCTTTTTTTTTTTCCTTTTCGTATTTTGGTTTTCTTCCCCTTCTAGAAATGTTTGAACGTCACTGTGTGTAAGCGATAGGAGTTTTTTAGTGTTTTAGCAGTGCTTTAGAAAAGTCCGACGAACGATCTTAAGTTGGGAATGGTGAAGGCTTTGCCGTTCATTCATTCGTGACGGTAGCTGATTGGCTATATCGAACCGTAACCGTAGTTTATATTATTAAAAATGTTAACTCTTTACTCTCTTTCTTGTATTTCAGGAGTCAACCGTAGTAGAAGCTGATGAGGAGAGTGATGACGGTGAAGAAGTATTCGAGGATGCGCTGGATCATTGGTGATTGGTGTAAATCTGGAGAGAGTGTTTACCCGCTCATTCGTAGATAGTTTGATGTCTGAATTTTGTTGTGTCACTAAACGTCAATTGGACTTTGAAATCAGTGACATAACTTTTTCCATTTGTGAGGTCATGTGCAGTAAAAAGTAGCCGAAGTAAGCTGAATTTTAGTAGGGTTATCACATCATACGAGCAACTTTTGTAGGTGGAAATGCTTTTTAAAATTGTTGGTTAAATATAATTTTTTAAACTTGCCGTTTATGAGTGGCGAATGTCTATTTTAGGTGTTACCGTGTAGAATAATTAGTTGTATGCAACGAGTATTTTTTCATATGAAACAGTTGACCTTTTTCCAAACAAAGCTAATAATTTTTTAAACTTGCCGTTTATGAGTGGCGAATGTCTATTTTAGGTGTTACCGTGTAGAATAATTAGTTGTATGCAACGAGTATTTTTTCATATGAAACAGTTGACCTTTTTCCATACAAAGCTGCAAAAAGGAAAAGAATAATAGTATATGCACGCTTGTTCCAAAAGTTCTAGTGTGAGAAGCAGTCATGTCTTCATTTGTGTTTTTCCAAAGGTTCCAAAAGGGTTTTTTTTTTATTGTACATTTCTTAGCTACCCCTTTGACGCAATCTCTATGAATTGGAGTATGTACTTTTACTGGTTATGATAGTTAAAATTTTTTTTTTAGATTTTGTGTTATTTACATCAGTATTTATATGCTGAAGTTATATGAAAGCTTTAACGTTCATAATCACTTTTTCTAGGTTTTCTTAAAAACTTATTCCATTAATTCGTTTTATTGCATTGAGTGTATCACTTCATTCTCAAACTTATTCCATTAATTCATTTTATTACACTGCATGTATCACTTAATTCTCAAAGGCATGCATTATTTACATTAGATGTAAAATTTTACTGAAAAGCTGAGGTTTTCAGTGCTTCTTTTCCTGGCCTTGGAACAGAATAATTATGGTGGTTGACGGAAAAAGTTATTGAATATTGAATATGAAAAGTTATTTTAACTCGCCCGATTTATATGTGACGAATTCTTCAAATTAATTTCAACTAGGGATCGGTCATTATTTATCTCTTGGGGCGGGGGGTGGGGATCAGATCACGTTCAAAATTGTGAGAGTTATTTTAATAACTAACAATATTATGATTGTAAAGGGAGGATTAATAATGATAGAAAATAATATTTATAATTAATAATTAATCATGATAGATAATTAAATAATGATGCAATTGATAATGATACAAAGTAGTCAGGCTGGAAAATAGTTAAGTAATATATTTGATATGCAGTCGTGTGTTCGCAGAGCCAATAAGAATTTCAAAAGCAGTTTTCAGGTTATGATTCTATTGACCGACTGAGAGAGAAAACGATACTTTCTCTCTCTTCTACTAGATTTTTACTAAGTGATTGGAAAAGGACCAGGCTTCCTTAGGAAATTAACCGAACGGAAATAGAAACATGTCGTTGTCTTGACAATTTAAATTCGACAGAAGTATTGGCCAAAGTGCGTGACTGTATACCACTAAATTATCAAAAAGTCTTACGTACTGTGCAAAGGTTATTATATGTCGTAGCTCGACAAAAAAATCAAGCTGTCATTTTGTTGATGCGATGTTTAAAAACATTAAAAGTATTTAATTTATTTTATGACTAATGCTACTCGGAATAAATCACTTACTAGGAGTGCTGAACCGGCTGCTTGAATCAGCAACTGTCACGATGTCCTGTTGCATTAAGTAAGCCAAACCCAAAAGTCGTCCATATGGTAATACATCATTCCAACATTTTGTCGTCAGCCATTGTATCTATATGGCATTCAGCCATGACGTTTATACCATCGTGGCTTTGAAAAAGCCACAAACTCTCCCCAGCCTCCTAAGGACACAGATGTAATGAGATGCCTTGTATGAAAGAGACTGACAATAAGTTACTCGAGGATTAAAATGTGGAGCACACAGAAGATAGAGAAAGTTCAGACAGACGTTATTCTAACAGCGAGCGCGCTATTTTTATTTTGCACTGGTGTACTCGTGTTACATGAAAAATGCACTCGTTTTCAGCCAATCACACGCGTGTCATTTTGTCGTGTATATCATTATTGCCTATTCAAATTTACTTTGGTGGACCCATCCTGAAGTTGAATGCTGAAATTCCCCCATCTTTGAGACCACCATCATTATCATTACTGCTATTGTTACAAATTGTGTAACTGTCATATGATATTGAAAACTACTTAACATAAGAATACTTGAGAATAACCATGTGAATTTTTAGAGATACTCTGTGAAAATGGGTGAAACGTGGGAATATTTTGGAAGTGCGTTTGTCAATAGTTGTTTACAAGGACACAGAGATTATTCCATAGAAAGTGCGCACGAACGATTCTTATTTACGATTCTTATTTACGAGTTGCGATGCTTAAAAAAGAAAAACAAGAAAAAAAAACGAAGAAATGAGTTTTTTTGATCCATTGCACGAGTGAGTGGAAATCGTTCAAGTAATTTCCATTGATGTTTTGATTTCATACATATTGAGGTTTTTCTCTTGACGATTGGAAGCCATTTAATTGCAAAGCAGATTTTACTACAAACACCACTAAATCCGCGCGACATTCAGTCGCTGTTGACAACTACATATTTTTATTATTTGTTATTTGTTTACACACTAGTTTGCTGACAGAGAGACTACTTTAAAATAAGAGACAAAGATAATAATGTATTTTCACAGTCGGATTCACTTCTGATTGGTTGGTTGTATATTTGTTATGAATTAATTTAGTGTGGGCTTTTTTTCATGTGTAAATCTCAGCATATATGAAATAAATTCAAGATTGCCATTTTTTGTGTACATGTTCCATGCAAAATCATTAAGTCATTTGTTTGTCATCCAGATGGAAAAGTTCAATCTGTAACAAATATCAATGGACACTCTCGCGTTGTAGTAAGAAATTCAATTGAGTTGCAATTAGGTTCCTATTGTTGGTATTATGTCTTTAACGAGAACTTACTGTATTTTGTTTAGAAATGGAATCAGATAATAGGCGACATTTGGATGTTTCTCCCACTGCCAAGGAACTTGAAGATCTTTTGGATCAGAGTGTAATGATGATTTATCCAACAGCTGTGGATGAGGTAAACTGCAGTGGGTCACTACAAGCAGAGAAGTCTCTGCAAGGAACTCAACCTAGTCAGGACTTAGTTGAACTAAGAGGTGTTCCTTTACAAGGTAAGCCTTTACTTTGTGTGAATGGTGAGTTTACGTCAGCATTAAATATTTTGTTGCCAGTTGAAAAGCTGCTTCTTTATTTTCCACAAATCTGGTCTTTAAGTGCAATGTATGATATATATGAAGTAACTTCTTGAAATTCTGCACCTGCATTTAAAAGGAGCGGTCATGTATGTACATTCAGAATGTGTATCATAAGATGGAGGTGTTCGATGACAACAGACTTTGTTTATACATCAGGTTTCATCCTTTTTTCTCAAGAACATTTGAAACACTAGACAATATGAGGTACTCTTGAATTTGACTCATTTACAGGTAGTTGAAAACACACAAAAATCTAGTTGCCAAGGTAGCAACCAAACCAGAACTTTTAGCATTTGGTTGCAATCTTGAGCCCAGCTTTTGTCTAACTTGGAAATCTGCACGGTACTATCTTACCTCTTATCAATGTTCCATCAGTAGTCAACCAGAGGTTGCAGGTTCTATGTACACTCATATAACACCCATCTTGGTTATTCAGCTGTAACATATTTTGTAATTTTAAAGAGAAACTGAAGCCTTTTGATTGAAACATTTTAAAATTTCAGTTTGGAGTTCAAATGTAAATGCTTGAACTTTTTGTCAGCCTTTGGGTCTAACTTCACCTCAAAAATAGTTTTATGCCTTATTTTGACCTTGTAGAGCCACAACACAGAATTGATTAATTTTCCCTGAAAGACTTAAACTGATATGAAAAACTATTTGATTAATTAGTAAATTGTTGGGGGGATTTCATTTGTTCCTGGCATGTTGAAAAAAACCTTTTTTTTTAAACTCTAACAGAATAACTGTAGATATAAGACTTATATGATTGCATATTAAAGATTGTGAGATAATATTATCGAAACTTTTCTACATTGTTCATGTACATATTGAGAATTTACTGTTTTATGTTACTTAGTTCTTGTGATACGTGTTCATCTGGGAATTTTTATTATAAGCTTAATGTTTCATTTCACTCTCATGTATGTACTCTTAAGTATTCATCTCCTCATGCTTGTTTACATTTTAATCATCAACTTTAATTAATTTCACACTCAAAGCCAAACACCTCTCTTTCACTTGCAAATTGAGTCCTCTTGCCTCACATTGACCAGCCCGTGGATCATCTGACACTTCCCTGGTGAGAATTTTGTTTCTTGAGAAGAACTCATCATGGGAAGTTTCTCCTGTTATATTCAGTTGACTCAAGGACCTCAAGCACTGGAACAAGACCAGTGACCCCTGAAGGAGCAAGTAACCCTGTGGGCAGACTTGCAGGTCATCAATTACATCTGAACCAGGAGGCTAGTCAGGAAAATAATTTGGTTGGAGAAACTTGTCCATCTGTAACTGATGATGCAATTGAGAACAATGATCACTTTCACCAGGTAAGTCATTGGATTAGTAGCTTTGTCAGTATCATTCTTGCTTCACTTCAGGTTTACTGCCACATACTGTTAGTCAATTCATGTTGTAGAAACTGGGTCAAACTGAGGTTGTTGTGGCCACTTGGCGTCAGACATACTTTATGATAAGGGTTTTCAACTACATATTGTAGCTATTGCATCTTGATTCTGAGCTTTCAGAAATTTGTCATTAATTCCTTTCATCTTCTTAACTTTTCTCTTCAGTTTGTTTATTTTCATTTGCTATATGGTTTTCAACTGTTTAAGTAGACTTCTCTACACAAATGTTTCCTTTTTGTTTGATAAAAATTATCTGAATACATTATGAAGTGTTGCCCTTTTTGTATACTTAGATCAATTTATTGGAAGATGAGTTCATACAAATGTAGGGTCGAAGGTCCACAGCTCCTGTGACTGAACATTTTAGACCTATAACACCAGTAATAATATTTTTTGTTTAATTTTAGCATTGTAGACAGCAATGTGCTCAGCTTCAGGCAACCATTGATAAGGTACAGTTTGACAAAGTGCTGTTATAAAAATTTTCATTACATATGTAATTATATATTAACTGATATACAAGCAAGTAAGACCATATGCTTTTTGACAACTGAATTTATTAACCAAGCATGTGGTCATACAAAAAAAATGTGATGCAAGCATTTCAAATTTGCCAATATC